CAAATCAAACTGGCAAAGATATTTTTGCAAAATTTCCTGGTAGTTATGCAATTAGTTTGCATAAGTATGTAATTTTTCTTTTCTTTTAATATTCTGTCAGTAAAATGTCGGAATGGTCGACTCTTTGACGCCATTCACACGGGTATTGTTATTGAACTTAGCATAAATGCAGGAAGCTGAGCGAATCAGTTTAATCGTAGAAATCGATCTATTTCAGACAAAATAAAACAGTTTTTAGGAGAATTCTACAAAGACAGCGATGATGGTGGTAAAGATTTCAAGTATGGCCGGCAATTGGTAAGAATTAGTTGGTTTCTTTCTGGGTAAACGCTTGTATGGTTTCTTATTTCCATCAGATTCTTTGTTAGATGCGAAATGAATTTTTGTTGTTAACTTTAGAGGTAGATGTACACTGAAGGTATGAACTTAAATAACGTCAAAAGTTGAAATAATCAGTATAATTGCATCTTGATTCTTTCTGAGTGTTAAAAAAGCTCATACACAAACTAATATAGTATAAGCCGTTGGCATTTCTTTCAGATGAAGTCCTGTGCATTGAATTATCTCACAAATTACGGTCAGTGAGAGCACATGCCAGTTAGTGTATACCTTTTCTGTTAATCTGCCTTTTGCTTCAGGAAATTCATTTGTATGGGTTTTTTGTTGTCATTCTAAATTATTGCTCAGTGGCCAATGTATATTACACATTTAACAAATCTGTATGAATTTCACTGAAATGCAACAGAATAAATAATTTACTTGCTACTAAATTTTTTTGATTCTTCTCATGAATTTAGTAATAAAATGTCTTATGCTTTGTTACTTTTATTTCTCATTTCCAAATTTTGTTTATGAGAATAATCGTTTATACTGTATATTGACAAATACATTAGACTACAGCTTATCATGAACTGAGAACACTGCTCTTTATAGTGCACATTATACTCATTCTATGAGACAGTGAATTCTCTAATACACACGTGCACTGGTTCATTTGGTACGTCCAGCGACGATCTGTGCACATGTGAATTAGTTGTTTGTTAATTCGTCAAATTTGGTTTACAGTATGCAATATTGAACAATATTAAAAAATAAATGTCTTGCTCCATATCTTTCATTTCTAATAAAATAATGTATTCAGTTACTATAATATATATTTCACAAACCTGGCTGGTTATTACAAAATGCTGGCACTATTGCTGTATTGTATTGTAGAGTTATTGTTTTCACCTACCATTAACCACTTAAAATTTGATTGCTTCATGGGTTTTTCCCCCAGTAGTTTAAAATTGTTTTGAATTATCAAACAATATACGCTATTAATTTAGCAGTTTTAGAATAAAGCAATTGATCTCAAGTCAAACATTCTGAATGAGACTTCAAGAAAGAGGGTTATTTGCCAAGGTCAAATTTTTGGCACTTTTTTCCCCCTACATATTGACCAAAAACTGCAAGGAGTTAGGATTTAGTTTATCTCGTTCAAAATTATAAGAAAAAGTGAAAAATTTAGCGCCAGGATTTTGCCTCTGAAGTGGGGATGGTTTTCAGAGTTCAGAGAGTGGGGACAATTATGTACATGTAATTATAAAAATATTACAGCCAAAATGTTTGGGATGAAATCATTTGCATCTAAAAGAATCCACAAAAAATGCTGTGCTAGAGTCTACCATTGTTGTAGGTTCATCTAGCCCACCGTGAGCAGGTCGAATTGACAATAGACTTGGAGGATGTAGCGGAAGTGGATCCAGACTTGGCAGAGGCCATTGTTGAAAACACCAGAAGATACACCAATTTATTTGCTGATGCAGTGTATGAAATGATGCCAGACTACAAAGAGAAAGAGGTATTTAGCACATTTCTAGGGGTCCAGCAGGGGCTTATGATGGGTCTTCTGTTTTTTTCCCCCCTGAGCTTCTTTGAAAAAATAGACTTGTATGGTTTTATGTGAACTTGTTGGTGTTCCTCGCTTGTGATTAGTTGGCAGCCATTTAGAATTTTCATTGAGTAGTTTTGTTGCCATTTTACAATTAAATGTAATAAGTGGTCCGTTTGAGGTATTTGTTTTCATGAGTGCTTCAACCAACCAACCAACTTGATATTTTGCATATACCATGTGATTTTTTTTTTGCACTATTTTTTTCATGTTTTGCCCAAAAATATTTTTAAAATTGAAGTTTGGTGAGATTTATCAGAACTGTGTCCGTGATCACCTGTATCCCCAACATGCATGGACCAATTAAGTTCAAACTTCACTCGTACATCACACATTATATGGGACATATGCACATGCATTTTATTCATGATCCGATTAACGATGGCCGAATAGCGGCCATTTTAAGGTCGAAAATGCATTGAAATCGCACATTTTCACCATTCCGAACCCGGATCTGTTATGCATGGACGGATTTTGTTCAAATTTGGTACATACATTAAACATAATAGGACCTTGATGCACGTCATTTTTTTCCCGAATCAAGTACGAAATGGCAGAGTGGTGGCCATTTTGTTTTAATAAATTCAGTACTGGATCCGTATCAAAGACATGTCTGGATTGATCAAGTTCAAACTTCACACACACATGGTACATCATGTCACAAATAGATATGTGCATTTGTTTCATGATCCGCTTAACAATAGCTGAATGATGGCCATTTTAAGGCCGAAAATGCATCAAAATCTTGTATTTTCACAATTCCGGAACCTGATCTCAGTCATGCATGGATGGATTTTGTTCATATTTAGTACAATGTGTTGTACATATGCAGGTGCATTTCGGTCATGATCTGCTTTGAATGTATATGTCACTCAAATATGAACGGAACGGGGACGTGTCATTGACAATGACTTGTCGTATATGTCATTGTAATTGATTTAATATGGGGTGGAGGTTGAAGATAATATTTTGTAGTGGGCAAAAATTGTCAAGGTTCCTTCTATCTCGGTACTTGTATCATTGTTGCATCTCTTGTCTATAGATTGTCAACAAAGATTCCCTTGATGTGTACATCGAACATCGTTTAATGATGGAGCAGAGGTTGCGAGGAGGAAGACAGAATGAAACTGAAGAAAGAGATGCTAGAAATAAGTATCCTCCAGAGCTGATGAGAAGATAGTAAGTATTTTGAGACTTCAACTTCCGTCATTTATTTGATGCGATGCTATATGCAATAATGTACTTTAATTGTCTGGCGATGTTCCATTGTAGTCCTGTAATTGCACATAAACTAAGTAATTGCATTTGTCGTTGGCTGAATCATATTTCACCAGAGTTTATAGTTTGTTGTACATGCTTGCCTGGATGTTCTCTTGGTGCATGTAGCCAGCGAGTTTGTAATTTAAGATTAGCTCAAAGTCGCACTTGTTTAAACTAATACATCTTGTATTGTATTGCAGTGAAATCCATTTTAAGGCGCCTTCAACTCAGAAACCTATGGCGACACGTGATGTTAAAGCCGATAGCATCGGTAAACTGGTTGTAGTGCGTGGTATTGTAACGCGGTGCACCGAAGTGAAACCTATGATGACCGTGGCTACATATACGTGTGATCAGTGCGGGGCAGAAACATACCAAGTTGTAAGTTGAGAACTCACTGATACTAAAATACGTGTTCTCAAAGTTTTTCTATATGATTCGTCATAAGAATATATGCAATATTCTTGAGTTGATTTTCTTTTATTTTTCAGATAAATTCACCAACATTTATGCCATTATTGACCTGCCCAAGCCAAGAGTGTACCACCAATAAGTAAGAGAATTCAAATATTTTGTTTAATGCTACAAACCTCGTAAGAGATATTTCCAGGTCCTGGTAGGCATTTTGGCTTTGTAATCCCACAAGTTTCATGCGAGAATATTATGCAGCAAATGTTGTAAATTGGAAAAATATTTTTTCAGGTCTGGTGGACGACTGTATCTTCAGACTAGGGGATCCAAATTCACGAAGTTCCAGGAAGTGAAGATCCAAGAACATAGTGATCAAGTACCAGTCGGTAACATTCCTCGTAGCATAACGATTCACTGTCGAGGTGAAACGACAAGACAGTGTGGACCTGGAGACCATATCAGTGTCACAGGAGTATCCTTTACAATGAATAAGTGAAAGTGAGCATTTTGTAGTTTGTGTTTAATGGGACATGTAGTACAAATTTAATTTATGCATCTTGTGAGAATATTCAAGCTTAGGAGATTATTTTATATTGTACAGTACAACTCATTGACTAAATAAATCATTATAGCAAATATGGCCATGTACACAAATTCAGTGTCAACGCTCATTGTGAGAATAGATTTGTTTAAATTAGCTGCATCTTAATTTATCTAAATTAACATGCTAGCTAATGACATGTATGACGGTAGTTCATGTGTAACAGTTTGTTTCTGTACCTGGAAGTCCTTTTTTGTTGTATTTTTTTCTCAACTATAATTAACTAGCTATTTCTCCCAATGCTGAAAACTGGATTCAGACAAATGGCACAGGGTCTTCTCTCCGAGACATATCTGGAAGCAAATGTGAGTTGTCAGTGTATTACTTTGAAAACTATTAGGAACTTTGAAATGTTATTGCAGATTTTAAAATACTTGGAGGCAACTAAATTCCATATTTATTTAATATATACTTTTATTTCAATCAGTCTGCTGTATTTATAAAAATAAGGGTTCCTCAAGTCCATCAAGCAAACCATAACTGGTTTATGAATTCCGAAAACTACAATCTTGTGTGTAAATGTTTTGTGCAAGCAATTAAATCGCACAATTTTTGTTTGGAGTATTGTTTAATTCGTATTATGAGCAATTTGCATGAATAACCTCAACATTGATATGCATGACTGTAGTTGCTGGTCAGTAGCCAGACTTTTTGTTGGGTATTTATGGCTATTCTGTGAAGTGGACATTTCAGTCAAAATTTGAAATGTTTATAAAAAATATAGCCTGTCGAAATTGACAGGCTTACGGATGTCAAAGAGCTTGGTCATGTGACTTGTGTCTACAGGGAGACCCATATGAAAACCATGTGTTCACTAAATAAAAAAAGGCAAAGTTTAGTCTGTTAATTCTTCATTTTTGTTTTTAGAGAATTGTTACTATGAATAAAACACAAGATGATGAACTTACAGCTAAAGAGTTGTCAGAAGAAGAAATCAGACAGATAGCTGGTAAGAAATGTCATGTTTATGTCATATATGTTTATCAGTAATTTGACTGCAGCGAGAAAGACGTTCTCTAGATGTCCCCCGTTTGTTGTCACCTGTATGGTAATGATCTCGCCCAACCATAAAATGTTGTCAGCCAAATCAAATTGCTTCTAAAATGTGATAGCACGGCCACTCCCAGTATTAAGTGAATAGTTAATTAGAATAGTTCTGTTTTTGTTCCCTTTGCTGCAAATCGCTTCTTGGTCTTTAACCCTTAAGACACGATGTACGAGAATACTCGTCATAGCGCGTCTGAATCCCACAGCGAAGTACGAGAATAATCGTAAACGACCCTCTGAGAAATTGCGTTGTTTTGAATGACGTATATGTGGAGTACATCATCAATAAAGGCGAAAAACGTATGAAATAAACTTTGACCTGTGTATATGTGTGTGTTATTCTTGCCTCAACCGGGGATTCCCCGCCCAATATGCAAATTGCATGTACAAATTCCATAGCTCGACCACTAACTTTGAATGTTGGACTAGCAACGCAATCAAAATGGCGACGCCAAATTTGCATTTCAATGACCCTGAAATACAAGCTGTATGGGATGAGATATTTGCCGATTCTGAATACGAATTTGAAGGTTTTACTGCGGAAGAGATCGATTTTGGTGATATTCTGGATGATACCGAGTGGGAGATTGACAATTCTGGAGTGGAAGTTGCCGACGATACTCGTCTTGGCTGGTCATCGAAAGCAAGTGGCGACGACATTTTGGTACCGCCGTTCACCGGTGTTCTGGGACTCAATGTTCAATTGCCGGAAAACGCAACCGCATTAGATTTTGTCAAGTTGTTTCTTAAAGATGAGGACATTATCAGCATTGTTGAGCAGACTAATTCGTACGCAAATGGTCATCTTGCACGCAACGATGAAAACTTGGAACCGCACTCCAGACTCCGGAAGTGGAAGAATGTAAACATAGACAAGATGAAGATTTTTCTTGCCATGACAATCGCTATGTCGATGCTCCATAAGAACGATCTTGATGATTATTGGGGCCCTAAAATGCGATAATTTCGACGCCTTTTTATCGTAGCATGATGCCAAGGGATAGATTCAAGCGGTGACGCCGGATATGACCCTTTCTTCAAAATCCGACCTCTGTATGACACCATAACATGCCTTTTGTCGGAAGTTTATACATGTGAGCAGTGTATCAGTCTTGATGAAGGAATGGTGCCATAGAAAGGAAATATTCACTTT